TGATGATCTCGCACGCTGGGGGGGGGGGGGGGTGTAACAGTAGTGTTAGGACCATATTCTGCTAGAGGACCATAGTCAACTTGTAATGAAGTGTAGAGAGATTGTAGTTGGGCGACGATGGTGGTCGGAGTGACCATAAATGGCGAGCGAACGATGTCGAAGGGACTATAACTGACGGTAACGATTGTTGTATGGTGCGTTATTAGACGTGATGGTGGTACCCGAGGGAGCATACTCGAGCCTGATGGTTGTCAGAGGGACCAGTAGCCAGGGGGCAACGATGATCGCAAGATCTAGTGTCAGTTGAAGGGACCATAGTTTGGTCATGGACAACATAAATTAGGAGGGACTGTAGTTGGGGGGCGATAATGGTCTAAGGGACATATTGGGTGGGCGCAATGGTTTGGAGGACGCATTTAGGCGGATAGACAATTGTTAGTAGAGAATGTAATCCAGGCGAAGCAACAAATGTTGGAGAGCCATAAGTAGGGGTGAAATAGTGGTCATAGGAACCATAAGCGGTCGGAGGGACCTTAGTCAGCGGATATGAAGGTTGCAGGACTGCGTAGTTTGGGGAGTTGTTAGTTGGAGGGACATAGTCCGAATAGGGCGATGACGGTTGGAGGGATTGTAGTTGGCAGGCGACGATGGTCCGGAGGGACCGCAGGTCGATGGGCTCAGTGAGTCGCAATGGCGGTCGGCATGTCTAACATGTCAGCAGCAGGGCAATGGCTGACATCATCGACGGAAGTTAGACAGCAGTTTGGGGTGCTATCGAGTGGAGCTCTAGATCCTTAGAACGCTTTAGCTTTCTCATCTAATTTATATGCAATAGATATATGCCCAGCCTCCCTTTCAATGTGGGAAGAGGTGAGTGGTCATTTAAAAAATTTTTAAAAGAATGGTATCCCTGTAAATGTGAAGTCTGGGCAATATTCGAACTGCTCCATCGGACAACTATATTGAACCCTCGATTATAGAGCATTTTGGTATATATATATATATATATATATAATAATAATAATAATAATAAGATCTTTCATTTTGACTATTTTTCAAAAGTAAATTTTTAGCACAAAAATTTCGTTAATTAGAAATTTTTATACTAAAAAGATGATTTAAAAAACAGTAAAAAAAACTGTCCCAAATAAAGTCTAAATCAAATTAAAAAAAAAGAGTAAAAATATTGTCAAATAAGAGTCAAATATAAAAATATACAAAAAATTATGAACTCATAAGCCAATAATTCATATTTCATCAACCTAGTTTGGATAGAGAGATTATAGGTTTATTATTACTATTATTATTATAGAAGACTTCAAATAATTTGGATTTTTAAAAGAAAATAATTATTTTTAAAATTTACACTGAAAATTTAAAACTAATAATTTATCTTATTCACAAATAAAAACAATTAATCTTAAGCCTTATGTTAGAATTTTCTTAAATTCCAACAATAATGCAAAACTATTGAAAATTACTATTAAAACTATTCTTCAAATATAATTTTATATTATATTTGAATTTCATAACAACTTCTACTTCAATTATCATATCTTATAATTAACTTTGATACATCATCTAAAAAGTCTCAATCGGGAAAGAATATCAGATGCATACTTGAATTGGAAAGTTTTAAAATTAAATTTGGGATAGTTTGGGTTCTAATTTTAGCAAACTTTTAGTCTAATTAAACATCTTGACAAAATGAATCCATCGATACTAAAAATAATCCAATCCGAGCCCAACTTATTCTGAATCTAGGATCTGTAGCATATTGGGGAACTTCAAAGCATTCATTAGATGACTAAATGAACTCTAAATATTGCATGCTTATAGTTAAATCCAACGGCTTGATGAGACAAATCTAATGAGCCCAAGATCACTTGATTCCGATATCATTTTGGTTCCCAAATGTTGAATAAACAGCATAAGATCAAGGCTGTTCGATGGAGGCTCCATGTTTCTCCGTATTTACTATACATGCCACTCGAAAATATATAAATAGACCCCTAGCCGATTGATTGGAGTGAGCTCATAGGTTTGAAAATTCGTGGAGATCCACCCAAGCATCACCATTAGTGAGCATTTGCTAGTCGACTGTGGCCATTGAATCTCAAATCCGGTCTCCACTATTGGACTTTTAACCGATCCTATTGGACCTTCACTCGATCATTGCCAATGACTATTCTTGACCAACAGTCGCTGGATCTTCGACTAGTCATCATTGCTAACTTGCTGTCATACCTTAGCCGGGCCACTTTCCGACCGCCGTCGTCAGGTTTTCATAGTCCGACCAATGTTTGATTGCTATTGTCAGACCTTTTTGTCAACAAACTCTCAATGTCTCAGCTAGACCGTCACTATTTCCACCCAGTCCTCAAATTCTTCTAAGATAGAAGACAGGCTAATATTTATAACTCATATAATATATTCAACTGTACAAAGCGTTGGGGTTTTTTTTTTTATAGTTTTCACGTAAAAAATCTCTAATAATTTTATTATTTGTGTCAAATCTTCATGCTAAAATTAGCATGTAAAACTCTCTAAGTGTATTATTATAATTTTTCTAGTTACAAAAATCTTATCCTAATACGAAGGATTAGTTTTATTGCGCTATTTATAAAATCTTAAAATAAAAATTTTCCAAAAGAAGTGGATTATCGTGAGCTCTTAATAAACCTACCTTTATTATTTTTTTAATAAGCTACCGAGATGCTCAGCTGAGACGCGATCTTCACCAATAAAATAGTCCTCCCTTGCCTACCTTCGACGGCCGGAGACCTCGAAGCTCTCCGCTCCCTGTCGGCGCTTACGTCGGTGGTTTCGGCGATCTCCTTCGCAGAGCTGCGTACGCCTTCTCCTTTTTCTTTTTCTCTACTTTCTTATGCCATCGTTGCCTTTACTTGAGCCATGACTTTGAGCGCATAATTTAGGTCTTATTTTTACCACTTTCGTCGGTTAGGTCGTGATATGCGTCGATTAATTTTAGATATGAAGCGATGGTTTTTATTGGAAATTTATTTAAGCAATTCGGTACATGTTTTTGTTGTTATCGAGTTGGTTTTCTGGTCCTCGAGGGTTTCAGGATTTGGGTGATGGAGCATATAGATTCAGGGTTTATTGCTTCGGAGTCTTGGGCTTGGATTTGAAGTTCGAGTTCTTTTGCCCTTTTCAATTAGGGTTGGGTGAATAACTAGGGTCTTCTTTAATCATTGACGGTATATTCTGTTGGGAGATTCTAGGGCTCCTAGTTTTCCTAAGCATTTCATGCTGTGGGCTGTTTGTTATTATCTGTCAGTGTCTTGGACGGAGTTGTAATCTATGAAACGACGGTACTTTGCAGCCTTCCCCCTTTTATTCTTCGTTTAGCGGTAAATTTCCATTGTGCATTTGCTGAGAAGGCATTTATTCGTATTTATAGTTAATGAGCTGAGTAAATACTGACGTGCTACCGTCGATAGAATGTCATGTCTTGTTTGTCGTTTTGAATATTCATCTTGATTCTTCTTTAGGGTTGAGATACATATATATACTGCTTGAGGAAATAAGGACATCATTTTGAAGGACTTCAGAACAACCATGATATCAAGTGGGGCGGTTTACTTTGTAGAATTGTTTGAATCTTTTTTAGGATTCTATGTCCGGCTACTTATACATATTTGTTGGATGCAGGCATATGACCTAGTGTTTACGTGTAGGAAATGAGCATATACTTACCTTTGTTACATAAAATTTTAGGATTATAGTTTTTTCTTCCCATTCCTTGTCCTCCTCTTTATTGTGTAGTTTTACTGGATCCATAAAGTGAGTCTTTGTCCTTTCTCTAACATTCTCAGTGTAATGAGTCATGTAAGCAATAAGGCATGTAAATGACAATGGATTGGGGTGACAACACAATATGAAGGTTGGGATTGAAATTTTCTTTAAACGTAGGACTATAGGATGTGATTAATAAAGATATGACTAAAATAAATTTAATAGGGGAAGTTTTAAAGAGTGGGTGATGCGAAAAAGGTTCATATGATTGGATGGGCAATTGATAGTGGGAAACATATGTAGGGTAATGGAAGTGAGCATACAAATATTGACATTAAAATAATTGTTCTAAAAGAGAGATGAATAAGCACAACAACAACAACAACAACAACAACAACAACAACAACAACATCAAGCCTTTGTCCCACACTCCCACAACGTGAGGTCGGCTATATGAATTTTTTTTCTCCATTGTGTCTAGTTAAAATTCAAATTCTCAATTAAATCTAATAAAGAATGATCATTTCTAATATTTTCTAACCAAGTCTGTTTAGGTTTACCTCTACCTTTCTTAACATAAGTCAAATCTAATACCTCTTCTTTTCTAACAGGGTCATCGGAAGGCCACTTTTTTTTTAATATTTAGAGGGAATTTTTTAGAATATTTTGGGTATTTTGCACATTTTGCCCCCTCTAAAATAATTTTTTTGTCCTAATTTTATCAATCCTAAACATCTTTGCCCATCCCTAAAAAAATTTTTTTTTTGCCCACCCTAAAAAAAGGAGTTGGATCCGCCCCTGCTTTTAATGGTCAACATTCGTCACCATAAAGAATTGCATGTCTCACCACCTTCTTATAGAAATTTTCCTTAAGAGAGATGAATAAGCAAACAAAAAAAAAAAATAAAAAAAAATATATATATAGGAGTATGGTAAGACAAATTCAAGTACTTTGTATTCCCATTTATGCTTACCATGTTGTATCACATTTGAATAGCAATAGTGGCTCACCCCAACAACTATAGGTACGTGGAAGTAGTTCTGATTCTAACTTTGCATAATAGAAACTTGGAGCTAAAATTAGTACCTAATAGTTGCCAATTTTGTATAACAGAAGCATTACATAACTTCTACAATTAACTTACTGTGGAAAATAAGCTATAACATCTCTACAAAGAAGCCTGGTTCTTTTAATTCAAAAGAGTAGTCCTCATTTTTCAACTGATAACATAATAAGCAATAAAGAAATGTAAGTAAGTCTTAGCAACCAACCTTCCGAACAACTCTACAAAATTGGTTTTCCTCTTGGACTGGTCCTTCTACCAGACACGAATGATTCATAAAATTTTCTTCGAATAAGTTTGATGAACAAACTTAGTCAGTGAAAATTTTCTTTGTCAAGAGTCAAGCAGAATGGTGATGTGACATACAAATAATACTTGATAACATGGCATGAGCATAAAAGTATTGCATTTATAATTTACATCTTAGATCAGACGCTTAATAGACAGTGACATACATTTTTTATGTTATTAGTCTATAAACTTGTATCAGATCATGTGTACATATATGTGCTAGTATCTCAATTTATATCAAATAATCTATTATGAAGCATTGATCAATATAATGTCTGATCATGGTCATCCCTGGAATGATTAGGAAGTTTTTTACCATCCTTAATCAATGGGAGAGTGAAAATGTTTCTAAATCAATCAAAAGATTATCTCCAATCTTAATCAATAGGAAGGCGAACAGAACTTGAATCAATAAGAAGATGAAGAGAGTTGAATCAATAGGAAGATCATCACCAACCCAAATCAATTGCAAGATTGAGAAATCAATTAAACTAGTTCCTAATCCTTGAGTTGGCATTCTTTTTATTAAGCTTGGGTTAGTTGCTCTCAATTTATTTATGGGACAAAATGCTTAGATTCTATCTTTTTTCTTAGGCTAATTATACATGGATTTGTAAAGGCTTAAATTTATGTAATAGATGAGTATATTAATTTACTTGAATTAATGTGACTACTTAAAACAATTAAATTTATCCTTTTTTGTGTTATTGCTTGCATTCAACACTCCCCTCCTCCAACTATCCATTGTCTTATCTCTTTGATGAATCGAAGTTTGCCCAAGATACCATTGAAGGAACTATTCAACAATGCATTGTGCAAGAATATAAAGGAATCAACAAAGCTAACATTATTTAGAAAGAAATGCAGTGGTACCTTACTAGAGAACCCCCAAAAAAGATAAGTAACCATTTAATGCTTGTTAAGTTTTTAGTTTTATTCCATGGATGACATGACCCTAGAATGATGATAGTAGTACCATAACAATGACTAAGTTAAAACGATAAATGAGAAAATGGGAGCAAGGAATTTTTGTCGGTCGGTGGGAACAGAAGCACTTGGTTGAGCCTTAATATTGTCCCTCTCTAGCGGTGTTGCATGCCAATAATGGAACTACCAACTACAATCTTAGTTGCAAAACTAGCCTAAATGCCATCATTATAATAAGCATATGGTTGGTTGCACCTCATTCTATAGTGAGTCCATGCTTGGCCCTCTGCCACCGAACAAGCTGAAAAATTATTTATTTTTTACTTTTGCAGTGTAATTAAATACTCTTTTTTTTGAAAATTTCAAGAAAATCTAAAAAAAATGATCAATAGGTTTTCCAACAATAATAACAACAAAAACATCAAGCCTTTATCCCATTATGTGGGGTCGACTACATGAATCATTTTTCTCCATTATGCCATATTAAGAATCAAATTCTCATTTAAATCTAATAAAGGTAATTTCTAATATTTTCTAACAAAGTCTTTTTAGGTCCACCTCTACCTTTCTTAACATAAGTCAAATCTAATACATCTACTTTCCTTATTGGGTCATCAGAAGACTGACATTTTATGCGACAAAACCAACTAAGGCGGCTTTCTCTAATCTTTTCTTCCATTAGAGCTACTCCTACCTTTTCACGTATGCTCATTTCGTATCTTGTCTCTAAGAGTAAAGCCATTCATCCACCTATGCATCCTCATCTCTGCAACACTTAAACTTAATGTTATGATTCTCTTTTAATGGCCAACATTTTGCACCATAATGCATTGCAAGTCTCCCCACCATCTTATAGAATTTTCCCTTAAGTTTTAGTGGGTCTTTTCTATCATACAACAAGTTCGATGTATTCCCCCTCTTCAATCATCCAACTTGAATTCTACTAGTAATATCACCATGGACCCCATATATTCCACCATCACTATGAACAATAGACTCAAGATATCTAAAATGTGTACTCTTATTAATGACTTAATCGCCCAAAGTCACAATCCTCCACTAGATCTATTATTACTAAAATTACATTCCATATATTCAGTTTTAGATATACTTAAATGAAAGCCTTTAGACTCTAATGTCGACCTCCATAATTCAAGTTTACCTTCAACTCCCTCTATAGTCTTAACAACAAGAAGAATATCATCAACAAAAAACATACACCAAGGTACAACCTCTTGCAAATGTCTAGTGAGAACATCCATGACTAAAGCAAAAAGATATAGGCTTAAGGCTGATCCTTGATGTAATCCAACTTAAATAGGAAAATACTTGGTCAAACCACCTTGTATTTAAAAACAAGTAACAACTCTTGCATACATATCCTTAATGACTTTAATATAAGCATTATTAACCCATTTCTTTTCTAGACTCTCCATAGCACTTCTCTTGGAACTTTATCATATGCTTTCTCTAAATCAATAAATATCACATGTAGATTCTCCTTATTCTCTCTATACTTCTCCATCAAACCTCTCAATAAATGTATAGCTTCTATAGTAGACCTACCTGACATGAATCCAAATTGATTTTAAGAAACATTAGTATCACGGCGCAACCTATGTTCTATAACTCTCTCTCATAGTTTTAAAGTATGACACATTAACTTAATTTCTCTATAATTTGCACAATTTTGTGCATCACCTTTATTCTTAAAAATAGGAACCAGCACACTCATTCTCCACTCATCTTGCATTTTTTTAGTGTTCAAAATAATATTAAAAAGTATAGTAAGCCAATAAGTGAGTATTTTTCAATTGGCGTCTTTTGAAGTAAATAGGTTACCTTTTTAGCTTTGAATTTTTAATTTCCTAGGGTTTATAATATGCCCACTACATTTGAATATGAAAAAACACATTTGCTTGTAATTTGGTGGGTTAGAGGCTTGTCCATGCGTGTGAGCATCGATAACCTACCATTTATTTTTAAAGTGCCCCCACTTAACACTTTATTGAAATTGTAATCCCACAAATTTTCATATAATCTGACATATAAACTACTTAGTCATCTATGAAGAATGATGCTTATAATTGTGTTAATTAGATAAATCTAGAAAGGGGTTGTGTGTGATAAGAATAAGTCGTTTTGAACTGGATTGGTCTAGATTTAGTTTGGTTAGATTTGCTTGGGTTGTGTTTAGTTTATGTTGTAAATTTTTGTACATGATTTGATTTGAGATGGGAGCTTCTTTTAGGGGAGAGAGTTCATGCTCCACTATTGTCATTGGTGGCAACCCATTTAACGTCGCAAATAGTGCTGAGTAGTTCTACAATGGCTTTCCTATTTTTAAAGTGCAGTGGCGCTAGATTTGAAGACGCATAAAGATAAAAATTTAGGTCTAGATGAAATAAGATTCGGTGATTTATGAGTAATAATGTAATGATTTAGTTAATTATCTTCCAAATTAAATTTTACATATGTAGGGGTTGAAAATTGATTGAAGAAGTATTTTTGTGCAAATATTTAACAACGAAAGAGATGTTTAAGATTATGCTAACTATTGGAGAATTAATATATGATCATATACTGAAGTTATGAGAGAGAGAGAGAGTAATGTGGCATATGCATAGAAAATTTACATTGGCTTTGGAGAATTAATGTCATTTCATATTGGAAAAATCTATCAGGAAAGTGATGTTTGTGTTAGGGCAATTAATTAAAAAGCACAAGAGAGTAGAGAAAGGATATTTGAATGAGTTTTCTTGATTTTGAACGAGGCATATGATTGAGTCCAGGAGAATTGATTTGATGTACATTAGATAAAAAGATGTAGTTTAAATGTACATTGTATTATCTAAAGATACGATTGATAAAGCATTGACTAGTATTAGAAATATTTGTGAATTAACTAAAGAGTATTCAATTGCCCTAGGATTTCATCAAGGGTCAACATTAAGCTTTATCTTTTTGTATTGGCTATATAGATGCTTACATAGAATATTCAAAGTAAAGTGCATTTATGTAAGCTTTTTGCAAATGACAATTCTAATTGGTGATATTTATTGAAATAAGTGAAGTTAGAATGTTTACCAGTATTTAGAATATAGTGGGCTCAAAATTAATAAAGCAAAGATTTAGTAAATATAATACGATGTTTTTTGGTGTGGTATTAACAGTTATTAATCAAGATTATTAAAAGATAAAATGATACATATGTGTGAGAGGTTTAAATATCTTAGATCTATTGTACAAAAGATGAGAAATAGATGAGGATATAATTCTAGAATTAAGATTTGGTTTTTAAGATAGAGAAATTCCTTAAGGGCATTTTGTGATAAGAGGATATTATGGAAACATGACGGTAAAATTTTATAAAATTGTAACTAGTTTTGCAATGTTGTATAAATACAAGTTTTCAGTGGTGTAAAATTCATTGATATTTAACTTGAATATGATTTGCTTGGGTTGTGTTGTAAATTTTTGTACATGATTTGATTTGACAAGGAAGCTTAGAGTCCATGCTCCACTATTGTCATTGGTGGCAACCCATTTAACATCATTACATCACGAATGGTGCTTGAGTAGTTCTACAAGAGCTTTCATATTTTTTTATAGGAGAAAGCGCATTGGCATTAGATTTGAAGACGATGCATAAAGATAAAGATTTAGGTCTAGATGAAATAAGATTAGGAGATTTATGAGTAAATAATAATGCAATGACTTAGTTAATAATCTTTCAAATTATATTTTACATAAAGGGGTTGAAAATTGATTGAAGAAGTATTTTTGTTCAAATATTTAAGAACAAAAGAGATGTTTAAGATTATGATAACTATTGGAGAATTAATATATGATCATATACTGAAGTTATGAGAGATAGAGAGAGTAATGTGGCATATGCTTAGAAAATTTACGTTGGCTTTGGAGAATTAACGTCATTTCATTTTGGAAAAATTTATCAGAAAAGTGATGTTTGTGTTAGGGCAATTAATTAAAAAGCACAAGAGAGTTGAGAAAGGATCTTTGAATGAGTTTTCTTGATTTTGAAGAGGCTTAGTCCACGAGAATTGATTTGATGTATATTAGATAAAAAGATGTGGTTTCAATGTACGTTGAAGTATTTAAAGATATGAATGACAAAGCATTGACTAGTATTAGAAATAATTGTGAATTGATTAAAAGAGTATTCAATTGCATTAGGATTTCATCAAGGGTCAACATTAAGTTTTATCTTTTTGTATTGGTTATATAGATGCTTACATAGAATATTGGAAGTAAAGTGCATTTATGTATGCTTTTTGGAAATGACAATTCTAATTGGTGATATTTATTGAAATAAGTGAAGTTTGAATGTTTGCCAGTATTTATAATATAGTGGGCTCAAAATTAGTAAAGCAAAGATTTAGTAAATGACTAAATGTAATACGATGCTATTCGGTGTGGTATTAACAGTTATTAATTAAGATTATTAAAAGATAAAGTGATACATTTGTGTAAGAGGTTTAAATATCTTAGAACTATTATACAAAAGATGAGAAATAGATGAGGATATAATTCTAGAATTAAAGTTTGGTTTTTAAGATAGAGAAATTCCTTAAGGGTATTTTGTGATAAGAGGATATTATGGAAACATGATGGTAAAATTTTATAAAATTGTAACTACTCTAGCAATGTTGTATAAATCCAAGTTTTGAGTGGTGTAAAATTCATTGATATTTAACTTGAAGTGATAGAAATGAGAATGTTAGGATGAATGTTTAACAAAACTACACCTATCGAAGATAAGGTAGTTGAAAATAGGCTTAGGTGATTTAAACATATTCAATGAAAGGTAAAAATTACAGTATTATATGAGTAGATGAAATTAGTGTTCGTGGATTCTTAAGTAGAAGACTTAGATCCGAGGTAACATGAATAATACAAGTTATTCAAAATAACTTACAGAAATAGGTTTAACACATTAGGCATCACTCAATAGGAAAACTGAAAATTGAGGATTTATAAAGCTGACTCCAAATAATTGAGATAAAGCTAATGATAATTATGATGATAATTTGCTTCAATAATTCTAATAGCACTATAAACACTTGAATTTTTTTTTGAGCCACTTGAACCTCTTATTATGATTCTTAAGCTATGTGAGTTGAATACTTCGTTTGCTTATGAAAAATGAATTTTTAATGTTGAGAATTTTTGGATCCAAAATTGCCCATGGAAAATACTTGACTCTGCTAGCATGAAAACTCAAGAGGCCTGAATTCGAAAAACCTATTGTTGGCATGGAAAGAGGAAGAAATTTTTTGGAAGTTTGATGTTTCACTAGCTCAGTAAGATTTTTAAGATATTGAAAAAGTTAAAAAATATGCGTCTCACCCTTGATTTGTTGGGATTCACGGTCTACAAGGAAGGCTACACCAAAAAAGATAAAAGTACAATAATAAATGAGGTACACAATGAGATGCGCTTGAGACATGTCTTGATTTGATAGGCGCTTGATATGATTGTTGCTCTATGGCCTAGATTTTCAGTGGTGGGGCGAGTTTTCGTGTGTCGAGTGTTTGTGGGCGAGTCAATGAAAGCTTGTCATCTGATGGATCGAGATGGAAAGACTACCATCGACGAATCCTTTGGCAGCGTTGGCGTTGGGCGAGGTATTGAATCATTTCGATATGAAGAGTGTATCCACTTGAATGATAGAAGTAGCAGCAAAGCGTGAGGGTGCGAGTTTGTATTGTTCTTTGGGGTGATCCTTCTTTGTGGCCGGGTTGGAAAATTTCGTTGATGGCTCATCGGTCGAGGTGACAGTGAGTCGCTTTGAGAGGGCACGTCCTGTTGGAGGGATGAGTCTTCAAGTATGGGGTTGGAGGGATGAGCCTTCAAGTATGGGGAGTTCTGACTACTTTGTTGAGTTGGGTCGAATCCCTTAGCTGTCATGTAACAATTGTTGAAAGTGACCATTTTTGGATAAGTCTTAATTGCAGGGGCCTATTGAGTCTAGGTCCTTCTATTAGAACATATAAAAATATCTATAAAACACCGGGAAGGCATGTAGTAGGAGTATATAAGATTACTCTTTTTGTAAAATTTTTATATGCTACTTGTGAGCAAATGTTTACTAGAAAAAGTTCTCTTTGTTGAACCGCATGTGCGGATATACCAATTTAGTTCAAATTCTTCTGCTTCGCTATCTGAATGGTTCTTCAGCATACTAGAAGTCTTGAGAGGAGATTTTATCCTTTAGTAAGAGCCGTACAAGAACAATTTAGTGCTTATTAGTGCAGTATGTTTCATCATTCGTCCTGTATATTTCTGTAGCTCCGAATGCTGTGCTTTTTTTACTTTGCTATTTGTTTTGTTCATAGATTCCTATCTCAAGTCCTAATAAATAGTTAGACTAATATTTTTTCATTTCGGTCCTATTTTTAATATCAACAAGGTGATTTTTTTCCATTTATGTAAATGAACAAGTTTGTTTCAATCGATACTGATTTTGAATCTTCACTTCCTAGAGTTTTCAAAAAAATTTCTACTTTCTGATGACCATTGTGCCTTTTTAGTTTGCTTGATTCAAGTGTCTCCATTAATTTGAATATTAGCAATATATTTCCGGTTGCCAATTTTAGACACCATAAATTCAACTCAACGAGAAGATTCGTATGGCTGGATATGTTCTTGGGGATTCTTCATTCAATAGAACGGAAAGACATGGACAGCTTAACACTTCTGAGGAGGAACTCGATAATTATGGGGCCCGGTGGTACTTTTCAAGGAAGGAAATTGAAGAAAATTCTCCATCAAGGAGGGATGGCATTGATCTGAAGAAAGAGGCGTATTTTCGGAAGACTTATTGCACTTTTTTGCAGGATTTGGGCATGAGGCTTAAAGTGTAAGCAAATTTAGCACCATTGACTTCAATGATGGCTTATATTTATTTTTTATTTATTTACTTTTAAAAATCATGTTGTTATCAATATTCTTGCTTTTGTTTTCTTCTTATGTGATGCCAAATTTAATGGTAGCATAATGGGGGGACTGCAGTTCTATTTGCTTTCTTTCAAAAAGGCATTTACTGTATATTTTTTTGTACTGTGGCCAAAATGTCTTGTTTTTGAATTTTGACACAATTTATTTCCTGATATTCGTTGCACAGCTATACAAAATTACTATGAAGACTTTGATGTGCTCCTCGTAACATAAGACTTTTATATTATCTAGAAATGCTCGACTTTTTATTTTCTTTCTCATGATTTTTATTGCTTGAAATTACGATCTTGCAGCATGAAATTGCTGTTCTATTAGGAAACCCAAGTTTTTGGTACCGTAGGATTGCAAAGTTCAGCATCCAGGTGTTCATTTTTTTAATTAAATTTGGAAGTCATAACAATTCTAGATGTTGGTAAACATCTAATGCTGAAATGATCAAAACTTACATGCATTGCTATGATGGAATAACCAGAACAGTTCAGCCTGCTTATTTGTGCCCTGAGGAGTTTTACATTAATATCATACAAGGAACTGTTCAGCCTGCAAGTGTTTGTAGATGAAAACAACTTTTCTTGATATTTTATTGTGCCTTATAGGAAAATGTCAGATGATTCTGAAGAAATAAATATTAACTTGAGGATAAGTTGAACATATCTTATATGAAATAATTAATACTTCATATATGAGACCATTTCAAACCAAGATTCATTTGAATTTTTTCTTGAGCAAAATCGCAATGTGAAAGACTAATATCAGGATGTAGGGAAAACAAAGTTCCACAGAATCGATATGTATACTGACATAAAATAACACATGATGGAAGAAAAGTTCGACTTCTATTTGATTGGCAAACTTAATAGAGGAAGCCTATGTTTCTTGTGCATTTAAGTTTTAAATCATGTATCGAAGTATTTTAGTTTACCTTTTCCTTATAATGTTCCCAGAAGCAAGCTTTTTCAGACAACTCTCTCGACATCTCATAGAAGAGTAATGCACGCTGCTTATCTCCCTAAAGCATTTTGTACTCCATGTTTTATTCTGTCTTAATGCATCATTCTCAGAGATACGACCATCGCCAAGTTAACTTTGCATATGATTCATGTTTGTAACCCTCTGTTGTGTGATGTAACTGCCATACAACCTTACACGAAAGATACAAGTCATTAAACCAAGCCAAGCTTTTGCTAAATTGACTGTCTTATGACATTTAGTTCTAAGAGCCAACCGCTTATCTGTTGGCTTAAGAGTTGTGGGTTTTTGATAGATTTTTGTATATTTTGATGTGGGATGTTTATGTGGAGTTGTAAGGTGGCTAATGAGAGTGGAGTGGAGATTATATGGTTGACCAAGAGGAAAACCTAGGCCAAGAGCAATAATGGGAGGAGATGGAATGCAATGGAAATAGTGAGGGAGATAACTATGATTATATTTAACATCACAAAAAATTACAAGATAAGTATAAGGGTTTGAAGATCTCAACGAAGGACTTAAAGGGTGGAGAAGATTGCCAAATATACTTTAAGGAAAATGTCATCAAACCAATCTACAAAACGCTTGAAGTACAAGTTATTAATTTATGAATCTACTCCTACTTGATAATTGCTTATATAGTGAAAATTCGAGCCTATGGTAAGGAGTGGATGGTCCTAAATAGGGGTGTCAATTTTTGACACGACCCGAACCGAACCCGACCCAGAAAAATCCGGGTTAGGGTCAATTCAGACCCTAAACGGGTCGGGTTCGGGTTCAACAAATCAACCCGTTTTAAAAATTGGGTCGGGTTCGGGTTGACCCAGCAACCCGAAATTGACACAAAAACTCCTATTTGACCCGCAAACCCGAGATTGACCCGTTTTTACCCAAAAATCGAAGATTGACCTAATTTTTGACCCAAACTAGCAATTTTAGGTCAACTTCGGGTCATTCGTGTCAGGTCAGGTTGACCCAGGCCTGAATCGGGTCGGTTTCGGCCTTTCGGGTCCGGAAACCTGACCCGTTTTTAAAAACGGGTCGGGTTCGGGTTGATCGAATAGTGCCGGGTCAGTTTCGGGTTCGACCCGAACCCAACCCGTTGACCCGAATTGGGTCGGGTTCGGGTTGACCCAGCAACCCGAAATTGACACAAAAACTCCTATTTGACCCGGAAACCTGAGATTGACCTTTTTTTTACCCGAAAATCGAAGATTGACCTAATTTTTGACCAAAAACTAACAATTTTAGGTCAACTTCGGGTCATTAGTGTCAGGTCAGGTTGACCCAGACCTGAATCGGGTCGGTTTTGGGTCTGGAAACCTGACCCGTTTTTAAAAACGGGTCGGGTTCGGGTTGATCGAATAGTGCCGGGTCAGTTTCGGGTTCGACCCGAACCCAACCCGTTGACCCGAATTGACACCCCTAGTCCTAAATTACAAGGAAGGCTTTATGCCAGTTAAAATACATCTCATGAATTGTAACTTAGCCATGACAGTTAAGGAAAGATAATGACACTTAAAATAATAAAGCAAATAATTAAACATAATATTACAAAATTATGCCTTGTTTGATTTGGAATGAGAATGATCTTCATTCCATCTTACTTTTGCCAAGAAGAGGGAGGGGGCATCCAAGTCTTGTATGGAAGGTGGAGTGCACTTCAATTAAACTTATGTTGAGTTCAAACAATGGTGACTTCAAATAAGGAGCTTCTCAGCTTCTCTTGTTTGATATTAATCAATGCATTATTAATTTTTAAAGGACTCTGACAATGCAAATAGAAAAGGGAGATCCAAACCTCTAATATGTCCACATTAATTGATCTTGACCTCTTGTAATTTAACTTAATGTTATCGATCCTTGTGTATTTGATCTTCATCACCTTTGATTGATTTTTTTTGGTTGCATCATCTCTATCACACCTCCAAGAACTATTCTACGGGGAGTTATAGGCTAAATTATATAAAAGGAACCTTATTTAACTTAATCAAGAGAGAGAATGCAGAATAAAGAAAATAATAAAACATCTAATCATTAGGCGTTTTCATAGAAAAGACCTAATGATTAGGTGTTTTCAAGTATATACATATATTATATTATTTTGATTTTTTTTGTGATATATTGATGAGTATTGTATTTGCTACTCAGGAGATAGGATTGAAAGTTAGAAAAACTATTTTTTTATTCATTTTTTAAATCAGGGGGTTCTTTAGTCATTTTTAATAAATAATTTATTAAATACAATTTTCAAGTAATGGTAATTTTTTAAAAAAATTATTAAACATTTATTTAATAAATAACATAAATAATTCTAATTTTAATTTAAAAAATTAGTAGTTATTCTAATTTTAATTTAGGATCATTATAGACTAAAATTATTAATAAATTTTTTTATTAAAGAAATGTTTAATAAATTTTATAAAAATACTATTACTTAAAAGTTATATTTAATAAATAATTTAATTAAAAAATAACAAAAAAATCTCTTGATTTAAAACTATTAACCCCAAAATTTTGATGTTAGGATAAAAAACCACTTTTTAAGGAGTTGAGGGACCAAATTGGTCCTTCAAAAGAGTTAGGGACCATTTTGGTCCCTCTCAAAGAGTTGAGGGACTATTTTGGTCCTTTTCTCTTGTTTGTAATGCTCAAGTTGGATGGTTGAAGTGGAGAAATGCTTCATGCCATCAACCCCGATCCCTAATAGCATTGTACATCCTGCAGTGTGATCGTCATTTTGCTGATTGGTATGTGGAATGTGTTTGTTAGTGGGCAGCACCACTCGCCTAACGTTGTAAAAAGATAGTGGTCTAGTCTTATGTACTGCAAATGGCCTATGCTGTCAAATCCACCATTCTGTAAACATACATGAATATGGGGCACTGAATGGGCCACTCACATGTTATGCGAAGATGGGTGGCTGCCTGTAAAAAGTAAAAATATATCCACTAATTTTACTTTTCTCTTGTTAGTAATGCTCGAGTTGGATGGTTGAAGTGAAGGAATGCTTCGTGCCATCAACCCCAATCCCTAATAGCACTATACATCCTGCAATGTGATTGTCATTTTGTGGATCGGTATGTGGAATGTGTTTGTTAGTGGGCACTACTGCTCCCCTAATGCTGTAATAAGGTAGTGGTCTAGTTTGATTTAGTACAATTGGCCTATGCTATCAAAGCCACCATTCCGTAAGCATACATGAATTTGGGGCACTAAATGGGCCACTCACATGTCATGCGAAGATGGGTGGCTGCCTGTAAAAAGTAAAAATATATCAATTAATTTGATCAACTTTTTAAATAAACTATAACATACTTATGAAAAATGTTCCTTACCTCATCCAAATTCGTAGCTCTGTGGGATAAACTCAAAGATGATATGCTTGGAGGCAACTCAACCTCACTCTCCTCATGCTGTGCTCATGTGCCTCTTTGACATGGACGACGACGCCCACCTCTACCTTTTTGCTCAGCCATGTCTGCAAAAAATATTGTAAAGCTAACATAAAGCACTACCTTTTGTGGTTTAACTTTTACATTATGATGCCACCTTGATGAGCTAGTATTGATGGGACATGTGGCACTATTGTGGCCAGCCAGTATATAAATTCTGCAAAGTTTAGCTGAGGATTTGCGAGTCATTCATTGTGTTTAGTATCCTAGCAGTTCTCTACTAACTTGCTTGGTGTTTAAAAGGTGGAGGTAACAATGATATAAGGCAAGAGTTAGTGTCATAAGGAGGTCACCACGTCTTGTTTGGTATCATATGAAGCAAAGCAGCATAACTTTCTTTGTAGCATTCCAGTGAGTAGTAGGGGGAGACAAATGGTATACTCCCTGCATTTCACACCAGCAATAGCAATTGCGTGATTGTATGAAATATGATATATTTATGTTTTGTTGCAACTGCACTGCATTGGGTGATGTTATT